AGGAGAAAGGCAGCACAGACATGTTTACCTCATCTACTAGTTTTAATTAACTATTCTCTTCTACTTACATATGATGTGGTGATAATTAAGTTAGATTCAGATTTTCCTAAACTTGCACGCGTTGTAATGACAGTGCAGATAATCACATATAATCCTCTGTTTAATCCACTCATTTATGGGCTAAAAATGAAAGAGATTTTTAGACATCTTAAGAAGTTGCTGCGTCCAGTCCAAGACAAGTAGGGTAAACATTAAAAATGCTCAAATGTTCCATACAGAGATAATCAAGAAATGCACGTCTCCCAAACAGGTTTCTTTTTGTAGTTAAAAGAAGACATTTTTCTGCTTTGCATTTTTCTGAAAAGCTGCTGTAAATCAGGATTAACAAGGTATCTGGTTTGATTTGTTGTATGGGAAGAATATAGCTACTTCTAGGTTGTTAAGGGAAACTCAGTCTTTTTTAGAAAGGATATCAGAGAATGTGTTTTTTTTTGTTTTTTTTTACAGTCTGATAATGTGGGTAAACCTTTGAGGATGTGTTCAATGTTCCAGCGGGTCGACGGAAATGTGGGAAAAGGCTCAAGGAAAAAACAAAACCAAGAAAAAAGCGTGTGAGTGATATTACAACTGCAAAGCTCAGAGATAAAGTACAGTACATAAGAGGCTTGTTGATGTTACGTGTCATCCACCATTTTGAAAATGAGGCTGTGGTGTTTCCTGTAATTCTTAATCAGATAATTATTAAATGATTGAAATGTTGGCAGAGCTAACCACTCAGGCCTTTTTATTCTGGTTTTAGAAGCCCCCAGTTAACAGTATTTTCCCACAACTCTACAAACGGTTTTAATATAATTAATTTGCATAGAAAATATTTGGAAATGATAAAAAGATGTCTATTAAAACCATTATATATTATTTTGTACACTAATAAATTGTTCATGTTTTTCTGTCTCTAAAACGTAACAACACATTACTTACTGCTGACAAATGCCATTTGAATTAACTTGTTTTATTATTTGCAAACACTTTTTGTACCATTCAACATCGCTCCATCTGAGAAACCTGTAAGGACATTACATTTTTTTTCTTTATTATTGTAGTAAGCAGAGTAAGTAACCCTCCCTTTTTGTTCCACAATGTAGGAAGTCACACCAGATTTTTTTTTAGCTCTGGGAGGACAAGAGACACAGTTCAAGTTAAAGTGTTTTACTTTTTTAAGAAAGATTTACATTTTGAGGACATTCTTTAAAAAAAAAAAACACTGATCCCAACAGAAACTAATGGAGACCTAAAGAAGGGGCTTGGTGACTGGAGTTGGGGTCAAAGAAGGGAATGGTTTACGTATGAAGGGAACCCCACTCACAAATGGCAAAAAACAACACACAACAAACAAAGGGAACCACCCCCTGGTGGACCGTCACCAAACAGTTCTAATAGAATAAAAACAACAATATCCAAAGATTGGCTGAATATAAGAAACAAAGTTAAACGAATAAATAAACAACTCAAAAAAAGGAAGTCTCTGGCCAAAGCTGTCAAACTCAATATAGTTACTCAACTGACAAAAATAAATGATGATGTAATTGTTTTGTGGAGAGTTTAATGAGATCCAGGGAGGCCCACAGTCTGATAAAAACCAATCATCATCAGAACTGTGACGACAGACATGTAGAGAGTAACTGTGTGCCTTCCTGCCAGTTAATGAGGTGATCAGTTCAGTCATACTTTCAGAAAATGTACAGACTTTTTAAAATGGAAGCTAAGTTTAATATAACATATATCATTTTTGGTGGACATGTTGAAGTGCAGCGATACGGATATCTTTATTTTCTGATCATGTTATTTGTTTATGTGCTCATAATCTTCTTGAATGGCTCCATTGTATGTTTGATAGTTGTGCACAAAAACCTCCACGAGCCCATGTACATTTTCATTGCAGCTTTGTTAATCAACTCTGTTCTTTTCAGCACAAATATCTACCCAAAGCTTTTGACTGACTTTCTATCAGACAAACAGATGATATCCTATCAAGCTTGTCTCGTTCAGATTTTTGCATTTTACACCTTAAGCTGTTCGGAGTTCTTGCTG